TGGTCTCAAAGCCTGGCTGGAGGATAAGAAATGCTGCTTTTCCTCAAGCTAGATGGCTTCTGCTTTACCCAGCCTTTCATCTGGTTTGTTGAAGGCAAATTTCACATAGAGGCAGAGCAGCCTTCAAGCCATTTAGTTCTTTAACTTTTTTTTTTCCTAGAGCAGGGACCTTCTAGTCCAGTATGTAAGAGGTCCTGCCCACTAAGACCCAGTGTACTTAGTTTGAGATTGGTAGGTGGGCTCTGTGTCCAGCCATGTGGAAGCACTAAATTAATTCCTCAGGTCAGCAACTTCCTGTTATCTTCATGTCTTCTGCCTTTTGGGAATTGCTTTTTCACAATTAAAGCTAGATTCCTTGCTGGAAACCCTTGACTTTGTGTGCAGCAGACAGAACTAAACTGCATCCTATCAGTCAGCTGATGTACTAAGAAACCCTCTGTTCAGCTGTCCATGGCCACGGAGGAGAAGAAGGGGTGTCCACAGCAAGATCCTTGACAAAATCTGCCCACACCCCTGGGATGAGGGCCCTTGGAAACCACCCCCAGCTTCTCTCCATTCTCAGTGCCCGTGAGGCCACGCTGCAGCCTCAGCAGTCGTGGCTGGCTCACAGCAGACGCTTCATTTCACAGGGAGCCCCTTGGGACTGATGGCAGCTCCGTGGATTCCTGGGTATAACCTCCCTCTGCCCTAGACAGCAGCATAGCTGCAGGAGGCAGCACAACCAGCCAAGTTCAGGTGAAACCAAGCCAGAAAACATTAAGCGCTGCTGTGCAGAGTCACCCATCACATATGCTCTAGCTCAGCAGGTAAGTCTGGCCCTCAGATTAAGACGTGCTCCTGCCAGACTTGCCCAAAGCACAGCAAGATCCTTGACAAAATCTGTCCAACCAAAATATTCCAGGTAAATTTAGTGAGATACAGTGTTTTTTAAAATGATACAACTTGCAAGGTGAATACTTTCAAGGATCTCTCATTTAGTGAAGAGGTTGGATTTCATTTTCAGGGTAGTGCCAGCTTCTGATCTGAGATGCCTTACCACAGCCAGCTTTAGCAGATCCCATGGCACAGAACAAACTGGTTGTACCTTGTTTCACAGCTAAGTTTGTTTTACAGAAAGTGAGAAAATAGATTGAGAACCAGATGTATCAAAATAAAATTTATTCTTACAATGGCTAGTTTACACATAACAGCAAAGGTTACATAAGGAAAAGTGCAATTAGTGGAGGAGGCTTATTTCACCTTAGTATTTAACATCTCGCTGCACTGCAAGTAGCTTCACACTCAGGCTATTATACTTCTTAGCTGTGAACAAAAATGTGATTTATTTTTTGATGTTAACACCATTTCTGTATAGCTAATAGGTGTGCCAGCATTCACACCTGCTGAGCATGTACTGGACAATTTCTCACACAAGTCTTGCATGAAACCCATATAACATTTAAAGTCTGACAGCTCAGAAAGCTAAATTATAAGCATACAGATACAAAATATATATTAGTTTACTAAAGTCTAAAAACAAATAAACTTATAAAAATGAGGTAAACCAGAACAGTTTTCTATGTGCAAGCCTACATTCAGTCTAGAAAAGCCTAGTAACAACCCTGCTCTTTTAAAGAAATTAGCTCTCACAAAGTGCAGCTAATTCACTGTCTTCAATATGAAGGACCTTGCCTATGTTACTTGTGAAAAGTCACGGCTAACGTTGCAATCAGGAGCGAGATACTCAAGCATCAGATGCTGTAAGACTAGATCAGGTGATGAGTGGAATCACCTAATGATACTACAGAGGAGGAAATTCACAAATCACTTTGTTTTGTTGCCTAACCCTATTTTTGTCATGTTAGGGTGGCTTTAAAATTTTTTCAAAGGCACATTTTTCTTTTAACATTGAAAGGCAACTGTCTGCCTGGTAAATAAGTAGGATGGTGAAGTCAAGGTTACATTCGTTATCAAATGCAAGGCTTCACAAAGTAAGGACAGAGGTGACTTCTTAAAGCAGTTGTCACTTCTACTATTCACTTTGCATCATTTTCTTTAGTCTTCTTTTTATGCCATAGATCTTTCTCTGAGAATTAGAAAAACAGCTTTGGAAAGAAGTAATCAGAACATTGCACATCTCCAAGTTATGTAGCACATTCTACCTCTTCCCCTTTTCCCACTTGTCCATTATCCTCTCCAAGTTTCTTAACAGGTATTGAAGCCACAAATCTTTGCCATGCACCCCTACCTGCCTTTGCCACAAGCAGATAGAGGGCCACAGCAAGCCTCCTGACAGCATCTACTGCACTCCTGATAGTGCAAAATGAGTTGTGACATTCTGTTTCCACCCCGGTGCACACACACATACTCGCACACAGTTACCACAGCTTGCTGAGACACCATTGTCTTCCATACTACTTTGCAAGTCTCTCTCCTAGTGACCCGGGAGAGCTGACAGCAGGAAGAAAGCAGCATATACTTGAGATACAGGCAAGCTACTCCTACAGTATGTAGCACACACATGACTCGCACCTTGGTTTTCTTTCCTTCCAAGGAGAAAGTTTGGCTAAGAACTTCAGGAGCATAATATGGTTTAACAAGTCCCACAGTCTAATGAACTTGGATTTTTTCAGACAGCAAACAAAACCTGTCAGGCGGTTTCACCATGCAGTAAGTGAACCAGAAGTCTAGCACTGCTCTGTTGCCAAAGGGAAGGATTCTTCCCCAGCAGTCTGGATCACCAATATGGTAATGAACGTTCAATCTGACCCAAGCTCTGCCAATGGGGAAACAGGCCACCGGACAACCTTGGACTGCCCAGCTGATCAGGTTCTCTCTCTTGTCCTCTCCTTGAAGTCTGAAGATCTACATAGCCTTCCTTGGCAGATGATATCTGAACACCATTAGGCTTCCACTCTGCGTGTACAATTTTGTAATTCTGACCCTCATTATTGTCCCAGAAGGTATGTTCTCCACTTTGGTAAGAAATGCAAAACTCTATCTTCTCTTCAGAGGAAATGGCAGGAGGAAAATCAATGGCAAATGAGAAGGTATCATTTTCAAAATCACTGTAAACATTGTTCATGTACACACACTCAACATCTTTGTAGGTCTTCCACGTATCGAAAGTAATACGAACCTGAACCTTTTTTTCAAAGCTGACATTTTTTACTTTCACAGTGCCTGAGAGGACCTTCTCTTGCAGGGTGCAGGTCTCCAGGCAGACCAGGTTCCTCTGCAGACGGTTCCTGAAGTCCAGGTAGTCAGCTGAGGGCTGAGGGAAACCCAGAATCAAGTTTTTCTCCTCATGGAGTTTTAAGTCAGATGTTATGTCCTCAATGCCTAAGAGGTCAAACTGCAGATCCCACACAGGGGGCTCCTGGAACTCGGAGAAGGTGTGGATCACTGTCAGGGACAGCCCCTTGGAGTCTGCAAACACAACGCGCTTCTTGGCTCGGGCTGGCGAGTGGTTCCAGTCGCTCTTCTGATCTTCAGAGTCACATTTCACATGAAGGCAGGGCCTGAGAGGTTTGAGTCTGTTCACAAAGCTGTTTCTTTGGCAGTCCTCGAGGGGGTTGAGAAAGCTCTTCAGTGGTGGAGAATGGGCTATGCAAATTCGCATGGCCATATCCACGGGCATGCTGGAGCTGGGCAAGGGTCTGGGGTCCAAGATCTGGATCATTCTGAACGGAGAAGAAACACAGGATGTCATCATTTATTACATCAGATAAGAAGCTTCTCAAGAATGTGTCTTTACCATTCTCTTAATTATTCACGGCCTCATCTCTGCACAGTTTTAAACAATGCAGCCTAAATCAAAATTGACAGTTCTACCGAAGGAACCAGGGTGAAACTAGTCGGTCATTTCTTGCCAATCCTAAACTTCTTCAATTCAAATCTACTCTCCTTTCTTTAGCCAAGTCTCTGACAAACAGATTTTAGTGAAAGCGAATGGAACACATTTTCTTGAAAATAAGAAAAGAACATTCTTGTAACGAGTAAAACAGATCCAGTTAAAGTAGAAGTGCTCATCCATTTGAACTTCCCTCTTAGAGGACCTGAGTGAGGTCTTAAAATTCCAACAAGCTGGATCAGCTGCTTAATCTTTGAGCAGAGACAGCACTATATTAAGCAAGTTGCCTATCCCATCAGAGCATCAGATGGGATTCTATATATCTTTATGTAGAACCATCATTCTGTGGCTCTGAACAACTGTCAGTTGATCTTTTTAGGAACTTGTTTCGTTGAATACAAATACTAAAGCACCTTCAGAAATATTTTTATAAGCTGTGAACCCAGGTCTAAGTAATAGGGCTCTTTGCACTGTTAATGTCAACTGCTGACTGAAGCAGGGGGAAAAAGTGGGAGAAGGACATACTATTTTTTCACCTCATTAGGCTTCAAGAATTGACTTTAAAACAACTCTTGATAATCCCTAAAGACTATGCTGAAAGTCTACTGCAAGGATTCAATAAGAATGCTACAGGTTTTTCTGTAGGGAGTTACTCATAACCCTGCCTCTCAGATGACGGATATCAAAATTACTGTGCAAGACCACGGCCCATGCAATGCCAGATAGCTTGAATATTTCTAAAAAGGGGCTTCAATCGTAGCATATCCCTGCTGAGATGGATGCAGTCCTTGCAGGAAATTCATAGTTTTGTTGAGTCACGGAAAGGCATTTACTTTGTCACTTAAATAAATGGCTTTCTGCTTCCCAGAGTTCTCACTGGTATTCCAGAGCTCTGCCAAAACTAAAGCAGAAGCTGTGCTGGCCTCTTCTTGCTTTTTTTATTGTGGAGTATTTACCATAATAAGCAGTAAGAGGATAGTACCCGAATCAAATTAATCAACTTTTGCTTTGCTTTATTAGGAATAGAACTAAAGCGTCAGAAATATTCTCTCTGCAACTTTGGTGACCCGAGCTTTTGCAGTGTCAGGTTAAAAAAAAAAAAAAAAAAAAAAAAAAAAAAAAAAAAAAAAAGCCCACGCAACACCGAAATAGCAAACAAGCGCCAAGCATGCAAACCCCACGGCAGCACCGGAGCAGCCGCGGGCTGCCGGAGGGGCGGCGGGCGCTCGGGCAGCAGCGGGGGCAGCGCCCGGCGGGACCCGCGGAGCGCAGCGAGCCCCGGGCGCCGCTGGCACAGCCGGGCGGGCAGCGGGGCCCGGCCGGCGCTTACCTGCTGTGCTGCGCTGCGGTGCGGTGCGGCCGCCGCTGCCGGCCGGGGCCGCCGCGTGCCCGGGGACTGCCGGCCGCGCACACCCCCGGTGCCCCTGCCCTGTCCGTGCCCGGAGCTGCCCCTGCTCCCTCGTGCTCCGGGAAGGGCGGCAGCAGCTGCGGGCGCGCCGGGCCCGGGGGGGCTCGCTGTAGCACGCGGCTGTGCCGGCAGCCGGGGGCCGGACGGGGATTCTCGGTACAGGACACGCGTGCCCAGCTGGGGCTGCTTCGGGGCGCTGCTAAAGGACCTTGCCCAGTGGAACCAAAGTTAAATTATAGACTTCTCTGCTTCGTTGGAAAGGAGATGGAACACTAAGTTGTAAGGTGATGTTCCCAGGGCCAGAAATCCATCATCCTGGAATATAGCTGCCTTTGTCCTCAGTGAAAAAGTACTTTCGAACTTTTAACGTGAGTGGTGCCGATAGCTTTTCACCTCGCACACCTGGTGATCTGTGCACTGTCTGAGGATGACAGGCCCTGCTATAGGTCCCACACTTTATCTATTGCCTTTTTCCAGAGAAAGGGACAAAAACTGGTGGCAGGCATGCACACCTGGTGATCTGTGTACTGAGGATGACAGGCCCTGCTATAGGTCCCACACTTTATCTATTGCCTTTTTCCAGAGAAAGGGACAAAAACTGGTGGCAGGCAGCCCCCGCAGCACTAGCCACAGCAATCCTGTGGCACTGCTGGTGTCCTGCCTCCCAGAGGCCCCGTGCCAGACAAGCCCTTGCAGAGGCTGTGGACAGCCGACAAGCAGCACGCTGTGTTCTGCAGGATGAGTAATGCTACTGGAGAAGGTTCATCTCTTCAGAGATGAAGTTCTGCTCTTCAGAGACCATGTCCTGGTTGCTAACTTTCTCCCTGGGTCTTCTGTGGATCCACTGCCACCTTCTTGCTGCCCAGCTGCTCTTCCCCAAGGGTGGTAGATGACTTGCAGTCAACCTACAAGATGTGATAGGGAGTCTGTGAACTGTGACCTTCTGAGTTCACAGCTTTTACCAGTAGATGAGACCACACACAGATGAACAGCAATGAGTCCTATGTTCTACATGAAGCAAAGGGGTTTACAGTGATGAACAAACAGTAAAGGATTTTTCTGTTCTTGATTTGTGAGCAAAAGAAATCAAAAGCTCTACTGCTTATGTGTGAGAATTTATTAGAAGATAGGGTGTGAGCATACCAGATGATGACAAGAACACTTCCACCTTGGATGCAAGATACATATAAGCAGAGGGAGCGAACAGGAAAGGCGAGAGGCTTCTGCTGACAGATGCATGGCACATGGATCACTATCTGCCTCTGTAATAAATAATGAGAGTATTCATAAGACAGTAACACTTCAGTTTCTTAGTTCTGACCGTTGGTGACTGAAGTTCCTGCCTTTCGTGACAGTTTATGACGTTAAGTGTCACCCAGATGAAGCCTGAAGCAGTAACTGACAATGCAGACAAGGCTTTGGAAGGTCCTGCTCTGTTCCCTGGAGCCAGTTACTCAGGACAACCTTCCCTGGTCCTCCATTTCTCAAGTTGCATCCCTGCCGCTCACATTGCTCATCTTCTCCTTTCCCTTCTTTTATTTTTTAGTGACTGCTGGCTCCCTATCAAAGGCAGATGATATTTTCTCATTGTTTGTCTACAGAAAGTGATAGAAAACAGCATCTGTGTGTTGGAAGCTTTGCTAGTAGCCTTGCTGGTCACAAGTTTATTTTTCTTTTGGAAGAGCTACAAAGACTTTCAGCCCCAGCCCCCCACCTGCAGTAAGCCAGGCCAAATATACCCATGGCTATAAGGGAGGACTGGACACATGGCTGGCACTTACCAAATCTCTTCTACTTACCCATTATAAAAAATTAGTCAATAACTCTGGAGTTTGTTTGCCTGTGCTACTTGAATCTGTGTCCATGGATCTTCCCCCACACACGGCTTAGCTGGGCTGCTGTGTTATCAGGGATCACGTGCAGCAGCTGGGGCTGCTCTATCACGCTATCTGCAGACACTAAATAAGAGCTGCTGGAATCCTGTAAAAAAGGAGTTGCCTCAAGGCTTTCCTACACATATTTCTGTTGCTATGTAGTAGCTCATTGCACTGTTGGTGCAATAAAATATTTTGCTCTTACTGTGTAAAATATCTGTTTTGCCCAACTTGGAAAACATCTTGAAAGATTGTTTAAAGTGATATGTTTAGCAAAAAGCCAGTAGTGAGATCCAGAGCCTTTCACAGGCAGATCATTGCCCAAGTCAGTAAATACAGACTGGATACAGTAACTTTGTGCCTAATTGGTAATCTGGAGCACATTCATGGCCATGGACTGGTGTCCCAGTTCCTGGTTGCCAATACAAGCAGAGAGCATTGTGCAGAGCCAGGGTAACTCTTTCCTCACCCAGGGAGGCATCCCTGCATTGAGGCAAACTGATAGGGCTATCTGAGTTAGCACTCCAGTTTGTCCTGTCAGTGATGGTTCCCTAGCTGTGCTTTTTATAGAGGACTCAGGTTTCCAGATACTTTGGTTTGGCATCTTAAAATGTAGATCTGTCTGTCTTTCAAATAGTGCTGCTAAAATGGGAACACCAGAGGAAAAAAAAACTACTGTCTTACTGTGCATTTGACAGCACTTTGTGGCATATCAGATTTTCTGACATTTGTAGGAGCACAAGGGCAGAAATATGTAACTGGAAAAAGCACAGCTGATTATAAAATCAAGCCCCATCATAGGGGATTGTACTTCCAACCACTTTTGTAAGAAGGAAACCCAAATTGATCACCCAGACTAGTTCTTGGTCTTTTCCTGAAAAAGTGGTACGTTACATCTAATATGTTAAACACGTTAGCTATAGAAAACACAGTTTTATTATAGCTACCATAGCTTCACTAAACCTTAAATGTACGTTTTTAAAACAGTTTGCAGCCTAGATGGTCCAGATGCAATGGAAGGCACAGGTTTGCTTTCAAGGAGTTCATTGAGATTGCTCAGTGACAAACTGGCAATTGGGTTTGTGCTGTTCTGTTCAAAGACAAATATATGGTATCAGCTCCACAGTGAATGCTTTTATATGCAGATGGTCCTCCGGGTCTTGCCATTCTTCACCTCACCTGAACTACCCACAACCTTTCAATCAGCAGTTCTGGGAACAGATAATGAGTGATTGTGCCTTCTGTCAGCTATTACACCGCAATGGGCTGCTCTGGTCACCTCTTTGCTGGCTCTTGTCGTTTTATAAGAATGAAAGAATTGCTTTTTTTCAGCCTCTGTTCTGAGACTGAGTAATCAAGCAAGGATTTTGTGTTTACTCTGACTTTATTACTTTCAGGTTGCTCTGCTTCTTTGCTATCCTCCCCCACAACTTCAGGAGGGAAGAAAGGAAATACATGGCAGTGGAGGATATAGAAAGAGTAGAGGAGTTATTAGCATTTAATTAAAGCCTTTTGAAGCAAAGATAGGCAAATATTTCCTCAGAGCAAAGTCATGACCACATTTATAGGTAAAAAAGTCCAGAGAGAAAAATATATGTCTATTTCACTTGCATAGTAACGCATCTCTTGAGAAATCCTTGCTGTTTGCAAGGGAGAGCAATGCTAGCTTAATGCAGTTACAGTATGCAACTGAGCAGAGAAGCTTTTGATTTGGTTTAGGGCTTGAAACTAAAACCAATTGCTAGGCCAGTGGCACTATACTGGTGTTATTAGAAAACAGAGTATGTCCACCTTATTTTGGCTGGCACGTTCCTGCAGCATCACACAACACCTGTGAAAGAGACAGAGCTTTAATGACTTTAAAGAACACCTGTGGTAAGAGCCAGGGACAATTCTGTCATACAAGGTTGACAGCAGCCTTTTTTTTCCTTGTCTTGAGCTTTTCTGTTCAATATTTGTTCTCTGCTGCTAAGGCTAATCTTTGTAAATGTGTATTATCTATGAAGTTGGGTTGCAGTTTTCTATGACTGTGATGCAAATAGTGATTTTTCAGATACATAGAAAGTCAGTTGAGCCTGTAAGCATTTGAAAATTTAAAATTACTTTTAATGGTTTATCTGATGAAATACAGTAAGCAGAAGTTTTATTAAGTCTTAATAGAAGGCTATATTCTTTACTTGCTTCTCAGAACCCTTTGGTGAACTTTGAAAATTACTAATGGTTGCAAATATATACCAAAGAAACTAGTCCTGGGAAACTGTTATTGTTTTAGGAATTTCTTCAGCACTTGTATAGTCCATACAAGGAAGAAATAAATTTTTTATATTTTTAGAATTTTTATTAGCCCATTTCTCATGGTTGGTGGAGGGGGTGGTTTCAACCAGATCCAACATACTACAGCTGTTGGGAAGGCCTCACTGAAATACCTGTAAATTGTAATCACTTGCTAATAGGCTAATCAGAGAAAGTCTGGGGAAAAATATTGCACTGCCCTCACTGCAATAGTGCCACAACCATCCCCTATGGAGGAGGGCAAGCAACAGGCAGCCAAATGCACATGCAAAGATGGATGGGGTTTATGTTTTCTTACAGTAACAGGACATGGGTCTAATTATTTGGGAATTCATAGAGGTTCTAGGTCTCATTCTGTTTCAGTCAATAGTGACTTCTTGCCACTCTTGGAACTTTCTAAAGTTAAATTCAAAGACATTTAAATTCCTTGAAAGTGAAAGCTTTGGACTGAATTAGAAGCTAGAAATTGATTTAAAATGTCTAATCTTGTTGAAGCTGATTAATGATAAATTAGTCAGTTGTAGATGAGGTATTACTTTGAAAATGTATAGTGGCAGAGAAGTGTGTTGCTTTCTGAAAAAAGTGACATAGAAAAAGCAAGAAAACATATCTCAGGCTGCTCAAATGTTTAATGTCATGTGATTATATTAAATTCAGGATATTTTGAGCAAAATTCCTTAAACTTTTAGAAGTTTGAGGTAAGATGAAATAAAGACAATGCCACATTATTTATAGATTGCTACAATGTAGAGTGAAAAAGGAAAGAAAACTGAAAGGAGGAAGAGCATAAATGTACGTATTCATTCTTGGAATAACCTGAACTTTCCATGAGGTGTTTTACAAGAGTGCAGAAAACAAAATACATACAAACATTTTATACATGAGTATAAATCTGACTTACAAACACAGATCAGAATCCAAAGGCTCTCCTAGATGTCTGAAATAAATGCAATATTTCAATATTACAACATTCTTTTTACCCAGTTTTTGTGGTTTTTATTTTTAACCACACACCTGAGATGGTTGAACCTTGATAATCTGTGGCCGAATATTTTATAAATCATGTTGCTGTGTATGGATAATCAGTGTTTATTCTCTTTTTTTTTTTTTTTTCCCTAGGCCCAGGTGAAGGAATTACCTCTGCTGATGAATAGTCTTTTCCAAAGAAAACAGTAAGTGAAATGCTGCTTTGTGCAATTTGGTTTATGCTTAATGTTGTGTGAAGAAGCAAATGTTGGTTCAGCAGACACTTCCATCAGCTATGTGGGCAGTATTCTTCTTCTTTGCAATCTCTCAAGGAAAAAAGTGATTTTTTTTTTAATGCACATATGCACAATTCCCTACAGACTTGCAGGAGCCACGTGATTATTCAATATGATTACCATTCCCATAAAATTTATGTTGAATAAAACCTTCATCCTGAATAAGCATTGCTATATATGACATTGCCCAACTAAGAGCTGCAAGATGTTCACAGAGTGTTTAGAAGCCCTTGAAGGGTCTGAATAACACTCCTTCTCTTGTTCTGCCACCCAAGAGACATGATCCATTTCTCTATTTTAGGTTCTCTTACAAGGTCCTTTTTGTCTTGTATCACAAGGGAAGAATGGGGCTTGGAAATCAGTACAGCAAAATTCTGTGCCAAGTTTTTCTTGGATTTTCTGTATGGAGAAAAAACTCCCCTATGGCATACTAAGAGATGAATGAATGAATCTTTTCTCTTCCAAATTTAATTTAATTTCTAACCACTTCAGACAAAAATTTTGAGTTTCCCTGGATCTGACCTAGTTATGCCTCTTTGGGTGCAGCATACATATGTATATGAATGTATATTTCCCCAGTTTCATGGGGGTCAAATTTCATGCAGACATTCATTTCATTTTTAGATTTGCTGGAAAGAATGAAGCTCTTCAATCCAAGTGCTGTAATATCATCAGCTCTCTTTCATCCTGCAGTGGAAGGGGAACTAGTTATGGTTCTGACTGTAGAAAGATTGTGGCCTAAATAATATATTTGCAATAAATTGGTTTCTTTGGGTTATTCTTAGATGCTGCTTCGCAGAACACAGATGGTTTACTGTCAAAATGTGCTGCTTCATGTATGCAATAATGCTTACAGTAAGTTTTGCAAAACTTAAAATGGTTTTAACCAGTGAGGATGATCTTGCATGCTTCTCTAGAGAAGTGCAGTCACAGAATAGTGGAGGTTGCAAGAGGCCTTTTCAGGTCACATAATCCAGTCTCCTCCTCCAAGCAGGAA